TGTTGCTGTACTTCCCATCACGTTATAGAATCATAGCGCTACAGAATGTATGAGAACTCTGGCCAAAGCAGAGACGCTCTTTGTCTCTGGTGGAGACAAAGGCCACCAGTGCAGGTGTTTCCTTACCTGAAAGTTTCCTATTATTCAGATCAAGATACATCCCTGAGTCTTGTGGACTATGGACTCTTGTTTTCATTGCAACCTATTGGATTCTGGATGACTGCTTTCAGGTCTTTGCTCAGCCTTCTCAAGGTTAAATTTTCAATCTTTCCTCATAGCTGAAGGTGTTGATAACTTTGATTTTATTTTATGCTATTATATTGCTGTGACAAAATCTTCTAAAAATATAAGCCTATTGGCAAAAAAAAAACTAAAATATGATTTAAATCTTAAAAAAAAAAAAAAAAAGCATTCACAGTCTGGAAAATATCTAGGGATAAAAAGAGACAACACTAACATAAAATACTGGTTTTGTTGTGAAATTGTAAATATATCAGGGAACAATAAGTGACTGAGACAAAAGGTGTAAGATAAACTAAAGAGGTGAATAACAACCTGATTACTCTGGGGGAAGAAAAAGGTGCTAAGGGATATTGAGAAGGCTATGGAAAGGTTAAGGCTTAGATCATGCACAAGAACAAGTGAAAGAACTAAAAGAAATCTTCTGCAAAAGAACAAACAACTGTATCACAAACCACAGCACCATAAGCAGCACAACAGAGGGAGGCGCAAACTGAAGCACCACAATTGCAACTCTTTTTCTAACCTCATCTGTGACCCACAGAGGCCTCAAGGGAAGATGGTGACTTCCCCTAGCTCAAGTGTTACAAAATCTCTTTAAAGGAAAAACTCCCTAGGAGGCTTATTTAATTTAACATCAGAGTAAAAGTGAATGCATAGGAAGATAAAACAGATTGGGATTGGTAGCAGGCAAGTAGGGTGGCCCAGCTTTCAAACTGCTATGCTGTTCACTCAGTGAAGAAATAAAGCTCTTATAGGTGGTGTTCTTATGCAATTTGGAGCCAATCATGAATTTCAGCTGGCACTGAGGTAAGGATGAGAGTTAAGAAAAGAAGATGAAAAAGCTTCTGGCAGAAATCCTGAGGACACTTGTGTTCTTCACCTACCCAGGTACCAGGAAGACATTTACAGTAATTCAGCAATGAACTCGCTGTCCACCAAATGGAGGTGGACAAATGAATCTGTGCAAGGAGGCTAAGGTAATTCAGGAAGGTATTTAGTTTTGCTTCATTCTTTCAGAAATTCAGTGCAGAAATGCAATGTGAGAAGCAGCAGTCAGTTGAGGGAAGGATGGAGGATGATTATCAGGAGTCTGTAAGCACCATTCTCTGCTTAGCACACAGATTGGAAAATAAGCTTGTAATCTGATGCCTAACACTTCTGAATAATTAGAAAGTGTGAAATTCAGTGCAGCCAATGAATCCACCAAAAAACTAAGGGGAAAAAAGAGAACTTCCTCAGGCAATTCTTGATGCTGATCATGAAATGAATGACAACAGTAAAAAAGACTATGTAGCCAGAAAGGGGTCTCATAAATGCCATTCCAAATGGCTTTAGCTTACTATGGTCATCCATGAAGGTTAGAAGTGGAAAGATATGTAACTTTAAATTAAAAAAAAAAAAACCAAAACTTTTCTACTATTATTAGTAAGAGTTCTACTGAAGTGCAGGGAAAGGGTAAGCAATGGATTAAGCTATCAGTGAAAATAGAAAAGGGACCTTTAAAAGTTCCTTCCAACTCAAATAATGTTATATTCTGTAATTCTACAAAAAGGTAAGGATGAAGGAGCTTATATATTGACCATGCAATTAGTCTTCAATGGGATATGGATAAACATACCAAAACCTGGAAATGTATGGTTAGAATGTGGAGCTCCAGGATTCAAAGCACGCGTCTGTATGACTGAGAGAGCAAACAAGATAACAGATTGCTTGGGCTTATAGAGAATAATAATTGATAACAATTGCTACTAGATACAAAAATGGCCAGTAGAAATGCACTTCTAAGATGTCTTAAGAGAACCTGTTTTCAGTAGAAATAAGTCAATCAGGCTGTGAAGTTTTCCCAGGAAAGCAAAAGATGGTATATAATTGGAACTTATTTTTAATTCCAGACATGCTCTACCTACAAACTACTGCAGAATAGTAGAAATGAGAACAGATTCTTTTTCACTTTCTGAATGTTTCTGACAACCTGCTAATAGCAAAAGGAAGTATGCCAACCAGAAGCGAGTGTGTGAGCCAGGAAATATAGTAAATGCTGGCACAGAATGAGGCAACACAGGTGGGAAGGATGAATGAAATCCCCAGACATTTCTGGGGCTTCTTCTGGTACAGCTCTGTGTACTCTAATGAGGTACAGGAGAATATCTGAAAGGAAATTCTGTTTTGCTTTTCATGCATATGACTACTGCCATTTAGCTGAAGAGTGACAGAGAATTATGGGCAAGCTCGAGTTTTCCCACTGCACCTCCTGTTCCATGTGGGATCAGTGATGAGGACAAGACCAGGTTATTCAGGGATTAGTCTAGTCTTCAGTGGGAAAGACAGAAGAGATATGTTAGGACATTGAAGAAATATATCAGGAGGGTGTGGTTCAATTTTCAACTCATTTCTTGGCCTTATTTTCAGATCAGATTAAAAATACCAGGTCTGTAGACTCCCACATAGGAAATGAATTTACTTTTAATGGATTATTCTTAATCAATACTAAGAATAAACCATGTCCGGGATGCTCCAGCAGATTCACCTTCTTAACCTACTTTCATTTTCAAAAAATATGTCATTGTGCACTGTGTTTTCTCTTCTCACATGTAAACGTCTTGCTCAAATAACATCTGAGACCAGTTCTTGAATTTTAGCTATTATGGTTTTCACTATGGTCATCTTGGATCAACTATGGTCATAAAAGATCAGTGTGTTACTGTTTCACAGTGGTATGTGGACATAAAGATCAAATCCTCACAGATATATATATTGGTCCTGCCACAGCCATGCGAATACCAGCAAAATAGCTGTGCTATTACACTTCTCACAGAAAATGAGTTAAAGGGTTTTCAAGTATCATTCCTTCACCACTCTCCTATGTGACAAAATGAACTAAAGCCGAAGATATAAAGCAGCTCAAACAGGGTTCTTACATTGTTCAGAGAATAAGTTAGGGAAATTTCCACTTGCTAAAGCTATGGAGAGCCACCTATCTTTTTTTTTTTTTCTTTTTTTTTTTTTTCTCTGTATTCTGTTTCCTCATATCTCTTAAGCCCTACCTATGTTGAGTTCTCTACGCTTCAAACAGATGTTCTGTTTGTTGCTCCCCCAGTACTGTTTCCTAGATCTTGAGAGATAATCATTCTAGAAGTCAAACTGAGAGTTTTAGAGATTGAAAAGGGCTCTTATGATTGCTCCTGCTCCAGCCTACTCATGTTTTGCAATCCCCTTCATGCCAAACCAAAATAACATGAAAGAGTGGTCATTTGTAATAATAAGATTCTTGAATTCAGTGGTGTGAAATTATTGTGCCAGCTGAAAGGAATTCCTAGCAATTGTCAAATACAGAATGTTTTTACCTGCATTTATCTGGGAGGAAACTTGTGGTCAGGGCTGGCCCTGCTTCTCCATAATGACTCTTTGGATTCAGGCATACTGCAGGGTCTCTTACCAAGGGTTTAGGAAAAACTGTATTGCTCTGAATTTATAGTAATACATACATTAGTTCACAAGTGAGGTAGAACTGATGCCTTGTCTAGCAATGCTTGTTGGGAAAGTAATAGCAAACACTGCCCTACCTTAAGCAGTCTGTTCAAGGAAATGATTGCCACAGTAAAGAGAAAAATAATTCTGTTATTCCACAAATTGAAATATACGAGTGTTTCTAAAACCTATTTTGCAGTCTAGGATGGAAGGCAGCAAGAATGGAATGCAAAGTAAAAGCAATTGCTCTGGAGAGTGAGCACTCTTCTCAGTATGTGGAATTTCATGAGTTAAAAACTCATCCAGAGAGAAGCTTTGATGTCCACTTCAGTGAGTTCTGAAAAACCTGATAGTCCCCAAAAGTTGATAACTTAACAAAATGGAATAGGCCAAGCAGTGAAGACTATCTGGCTATTCATAGAGAAGAGAAAGATTGAAGAATGCTTCCCGGTATCTATAATGTTCATAGCACATGAATAATCTGATGATTATTGCAAGTATAACATCAAAGAGGTTTAGTTTCCTTCCACATTAAATTTATTCCTTCCACAATAAATTTAGTTCACTCATGGCCTACAACTGGAAAAAAACACCGTTTCTTTACTAGTGAATCTGGAGTACTAGACGGTATCTTGAGTTCCTGGTACACATCCTACAAGTTGTGGGTACAGAAACTTCACTGTCTTGAGATCCTGGGCTTGAACAACCCTCCAAGCTTGAACAGTTTGTCTTTTGTCCTCGCACCAGCCTATACAAAACAAATGCTCACGTGTCTGATAAAGCAGTGCCCTTACTGCATGGTTGTCTCAGAGATTTAAAAACAGGAAGGAAAGTTGCAAAATCAAAAATGGCAAACCTGGTGCCCAGCAATGATCATCGTCTCTCTGATCAATCTCTCTGACTCCCACCCAAGGAGGCTGCTGATTAATATGTAAAATGTTCTAACTTTGCTTGCATGACCACTGCTAATTTTATAGCAAATGAGTTTTTAGAAATAACTAACTCACTTCATCTGACAGGTTATGTACAACTCATATGCAATAGTTATTAGTTAATGCCTTTAAGGATAATACAAAATTGTCTAAGGATACAAATTAAAACTGTTGCAAAATCTCTGTAACTCAACACATTTAAAATTTAAATTGTATTACTTCAATCATTTGAGGTCTAATGCTGAAAGATACTGAACTTCTCATACAAATTTTTTGTTTGACTTCAACTTCCAAATGATCAGTAGATGCTGAGAACGGTTTCATCTTCCACAATCACAGAGACAGAATTTGGCAAACAGTAAATATTTATAAAACAAATTTACTTAAAGAACTCTACAGAACAATAAAGTATCAATAACAAATTCAAACATCGAAGAAGCAGCTTGAATCCTTTAAAGTGCAAGTCTGAATCTCAACATTTATCTAAACTGTATTTAGTATTATACCAATAATAAAAATAATAAATCAGGGAAAACTAAAATACTTCCTCTAAAGTATGCTACAGCTACAGTGTACAATCTGAGTTTGAAATTAATAGAACTGACAACAATCTGGCTATTTTTTAATACATTTAATGCAGTTTTCATTTACTTGTTTTACTCTAAAATCCTAAATACAAAGTAAAGTGAAAACTCTTCACTTACAAGGAACTCTTTTCTAAGTCTTTGTAAAAAAGACATTCAGCAGCTGCCATTTACTTACAAATTATAGAATAAGCTGAATGCAACAGTTAAGCAGCTTCAAATAGTGTCTTTCTAATTCTAGATTATATGTATTTTTACAAAAGCACTTCGCCAAATATTAAATATTATAATCTAAACATGCATTTAACTCAAATATATTTGTCATGTTCCCAAAGGGTTAATGTTGTCTTGCTTCATTTCTTGCATGTAGCAGTTTAGCTCTGAACAAAAGCAGCTCCCTGCTGGTTACCTTGGCTAAAGGAAACACAATGAACTGGTAAAATCCAGTTTTATCTCACTGCTGTTGCCTAGGGCTACAGACAAAATGAAGTAAAAAAATTCACATGCAGAGTATTAGGTGCTTATGAAAGATCCAGCAGCGCTGTTGCCTAGTGATTCAGTGAGGAATCAGCACAGGCCAATGAGGTGTACGGGTACTGAATAACATCCCCGATGACTGTTTTACATCTCCTGCAATTCTGTCATACACCCCCATGATTTCCCAGTGGTAAGAAGCACTTTCAAGGGAACCTGTCAACAACAACAAAAAAATTAAACAAACACATCACTTACAGCAAGATTACTATTTTTGCTTTTCCTTTTGGATATGGATAATGCTCTAGATTACTCACCTACCTATGTGAAATGTTCTTCACATCTAGTAATATTTTATTGCAATTACAGTTTTGATTAAGATACTACTTTTTTAAAAATCATCCACTTTCACAGACCTGAGGTATATTTGTTGTTGCCTTGGCTCTTTTTCAGTTTGTTTTGCAGTTACTGGTGTAGTACAGGAGATATTTTGACATGAAAGCTGCCTCATTAGCAAGGACAACATTTTGGAAAAGAAGCTACTTCAAAGGTAAAGAATTCTTTTCCTCAAAGAAGAAGAAGAAATCTCTCCCTATTACGATGACATGTGTGCTCTACTTTAATGATATCTTTCTTCCATATTAAAAGATAGCATTCATATTAATAGAGCACATAATACGTAGTTAGTCGAGGCAAGCGTGCTGAAGGAAATCAGGAGCATTTGACAAAAATCTTTTCATCTTCAACATCTCTAATCCTAAAATATGTATTTACTGTACAGAAAGATAATGTGAACAAAAATACAGACTCTTTGAAAAAAGATCAGTCTCAAATTCTTCACTAAGATCAAACTGTTTACACTTTATGGTTTGTATGTGGTCTCTGCCACTGATCCATTTTGGATGTTCCAGAGGAAGATGAAGTGTCTTCATGATGTGTGTAGCCTAACATTCAGTTAGAGTAAAAATGTGTCATGACTTCTACGGTAATTCACTCGGGAAAAGGAGACCAAGACAAGGTAAGAAAACATGCATCTCCAAATACTTCTACTGCTTATGAAAATATCCAAACCCCAGACAACTACTTATTGTCCAATACTGTTTCTTTTTTGCCTATTAAAATGCGGTTGCCATTTAAAAGAGAATCACTCTTCTCATTGGAGTGGCATATAGAATCCATTTGCTAATGCACCTAGGTGCATTTGTCAGTGTGTGCTAAGACACTTCTAGTATAAGAAAGGAACCATGCTATGTGCTGGAGTTTGAACTTCTGCCAGTGGTTAGTCTGCAATAGGTAACATTAAGCTGGTATTTAGGCTGTGTAACTGTGAGCATTCTTATTGTGTGCAAACATCTGTCTTTATTACAAACCTATTGTTCATATTTTATTTCATGTCAATGACTTTCTCAGGCAAAATATGAACAAAGTTGTCTTTGACAGTGTCCTTGAAAAAGAGAATCCCAGAACTATCAAGGAAGGACTGCAGTGTTGCTATCTGCCTTATATATTATTAGTAATGCCATACTTATTTTAATGAGTCTCCACTGGGGGCCAGAAATATGTAACTATAAGATCTCAAGGGATCTTCAGGCCAGCTTCACAAATGCTGAAATAGAAGACCTGGAGGTAAGAATATAAGCTAAAATTTATCTAGTAGTTTTCTTTTTCAACGATTCCTGTTAATACAAGCCTGTATGTTGTAAGTATGAAATAACCAGAAAAAAAATCTGTTGCTGTCCCCAGATCTCATTCAGGTATACTGGAGAATGAGTTATCTGGCAACACCAAGCATTCAGTTTCTCAGGTAAAAGCAAACCCTTGGGCAATTAATTACTCTCTTAGTTTAGAGATTCCAGAGACAGAAATCCCTTATCAACAACAGCTGAGCAGTGAACTAGAAGCAAAGGGCATCAACCTTGTAGACAGAAAAAGATAGGTACATTATGTAAGAATTACAATTAGATACAATGGAAATGGAGATAGTAGCTGTTTATCTATCTACTCCTCAGAGTACTACTGTTACAGATGCAGTTCAAATAGAAAATGGCCCATATTTCAAACTGGAAGGGGTGATTTTTGTACGTTAGGCACCCACTCAGAAATGCTGAAAAGATCACAGTTTTCTAAATGAAAATTACTGAAGATCTTTTGCAATATTGTTATGAATGCACTTTTCAGAATGCTTATTAAGGCATTATTTCTCATTCTACCACACTCATCAGAAATTCCATGGCAATAAATGAAATGGGTTTTGAAATTACTGCACTGTATAGCTAAGACAAACAGTGCACTACGGTCACGCTTTCCAAAATAGAGGTTGAGTTTCTTTCAATTATTTTTCCTTTAGATTTTTTTATGGTAATTCCAAAAAGCTGTTACCTGCAAGTCTGAACGTGAAACTGTTGAAGTGAAAGTCAAAGTGGTTGTTTCTAGATTCTTAATATAATGACAACATAGAAAACTACATATCCTTGAGATAGCAGTGGAAATTCAGAATTGTTCCTACCTTCAGTGGCACTTCCAAGGCTGTGGTTTGCTGAAGGGATTCCATTGTTCTTTTCACCAATGCTGTAAGGACAAAGAAGTTGAAAATCTACAGCTTTATGTTCCAGGATGGAATTATTATATTTAAAAAAAAAAAAAAAAAAGTATGGTTTCTTTCTCTTGTAAAATACCTCCATTTATTTAAAAAAAAAAAAAAAAAGAGAGAAAGAAAGAAAAAAAAACATTTAAATTTTTCAAGATTTTCAAACCAATTGAACTGCAGTATGATTTACGTAACTTAACCCACCATGTCACAACACTATGCTCACCATTAATGTGAAAAATGCTTCTGTAATAATTTCAAATCAACCATTTGGGACCAGATTTGTCATCCTTGGTCATACCAATTACTGTGTTGTTTGACAAAGATTTCTGCTGCAACAAAATATGGTTCCAATAAAATTTCAGTGCATAAATGGCTTTAAAAAGGAGGTAACTTTTGGCTACTGAAAGTGAAAAAGGAGTACCGGGCAGCCCCAGAGAGGAAGTCATTGAGTAACCACCACTGCTCTGACAGGACAGCTGATTACATGTCAGCATGCGCCTCATGAAACTGAGAAACAACAGATTGTGCAGTATATGGTGATAACTACTAGGCTGAAAACCACATGATTACTGAGAAGTATTTTTTGAAGTTATTCCTTGATGCACATCATGGCTCTTTAGGAGCTGAGGTTAGGTGCAAAGAAGGAACAAGAACTCCAAGCAGCAGCATATGGTTGTTGTCTTTCTGGCTGCTGCCAAAACCTTTTCTAATGATGCCAGCACTGAAGAATAGTACGCAGTGTTTTATTTCACATTTGTGACACTGAGGCTGATATGATAATAATGAAAAAAATAACTATCTTCTGACTGAGCACAAGTGGGGTGCTTAGACTACGCTGGCTCACTCACACTTGCGTGTTAATGAGCTGTCATAAGATTTTCCATGAAGTCCAAGTTATGCAGAAGCTTATAAGATCAGTGGCTGAAGTTCCTTAGATGAGAAAAATAAGACTTATGTTGAAATATGTTGGCACATGATAACACCTGTGTACATAGGTCGCTCTGAAAGTAACGCCTCCTTTTTGTTTCCATGGAAATGATTGAAAAGAGAACAATGAGACTGTTTGATAGAACAAATTCTAAGCTACAAAACACTACTTTTCAACACAGGCACCACCATTATCTATGCATTTTCACCAGTGATGAAGAAGAGCCTGCATGATGCTCTTGTAAATACCTGCACAAACAAAAGTGACCCACTGTCCCTGTCACCACTGCTGAAACACATCACCCACTGCTTCACCATGCTCACATTCACTGTTTGGTCTCCATAAACGTACAGTAAACATAGATTAATGTCAGTGGGTGCCATTTTTTCCACATAGAGAAATTCAATTCCATACCTTTGCTTCTTACACATGTCCAGGCCAGATACCATTTTGTCTGACTGCCCTGCTGCTGCCATTTGTCATGTGGCAACAAAATGTAACAATATTGGTAGGAAGGTTCAGCTTCTGCTGTCATAGCACCAACATCTACCTCTGACAATGTGGGCCAACTTCATAAAATAAGAGGCATTACTTTTGGAGCAGCCCTCTTATTTGCTTCATGCTGGATTTGAGGTAGCTTGCGGTTCTGTTGAGGACAGCATTGTGTTTGGAATGCAGAAACAAACATGTCTAACACTAATTGTGACAGCATAGGGGAGTGTTGGTCTAAATAATTATCTACTTAAAATTCATTCCAAGTCAAGATGCCTATTAATAAAGGAGTGTTGGACTGTCTTGAGAAGCCCAGTCTGAATTTAAACAAGCTGCCAGCTCTGGGAGATCAGCAATGCAGCAGACATCGGGACACTGACAAGGTGACATGCCTTTAGAAGGCTAAGCGGATTGCCAAGCAATCCATGGGTAAGTAATTTTTTATAGGTACTACTGTACAAAGCTTTAGTGAGAGCATCACCTCTGGATTCCACATTTTGTACAGCTTCACTCAGCTCTGTAATATTCCACCAAAGCACTTACAAAAAAGCTAAGGACACGCTCAGCCTTTAGTGCCGTTAGATAAATAAAGACCAACAGATCACCAAGGCAATGGGAGGAATAGGTCTTCTAGACAAAAGGAGTTCCAATGGACAACAGAAGAGGGAGCATGAGTCAGCACCGCTGATTCATGGGCTGAGAAATGCGAGCATCTGCACGTGCACTGAATTAGATCCATTTCCCCTCTACATTTGACGCATTTTCTCCCATATAACTGTTATCCCCAAAAGGGGTTTCACAGTGACAGTGATGATTGCAAAATCTTTCTCTGTTGGTTCACACAATTCTTGCTTTAAGGCATCTGGCATGATCAGAATTCTGCTGGATCCTTAACTGCTTTTAATTTTAAAAAGCAGAGATTAAAATGGCCACATCAAAGTGAGCGAACCTAATGGTTCCTCATTCTCCGTGACAACCCATTAAAAACCTCTCCATGAGTTTGCTCGACTTTTTTCTTTGTTTTTCTGGTTTGACTCCCTATTTTATTTCTCAAGTCAAACTGACTTCTCTTTTTCTTCCCAGAATTTAAAGGGTAGCATGGTAAAACCATTCACTTCAAACAATCCAAGGAGGTTTTGCCTGCATTTCAGCCTTTTGAAATCATATCTTTGGAAGATTTATCTATATTTATTTTACAACAGGTTTTTAATTATATATATATATATATAAAATTAATATTATATATATTAATTATATAAATATTTTATATATTAATATATATAAAATTAATAAAATATATGTGTATATATATATATATATATATATATATATATAAAACAGTAATAGAAATATCAAGAAAAAGCAAGTAGATTACCATTCCTGTTCAGTAGTCTGTGAAGAAGGAAGCATTTAAATTAATTGACAGTTTTTGCATGAAAATAACTAGATAAACTGGCTAAGTACATTTAGGCTGGAAATCAAAAGTTCCAGAATTTTATCTCTCCAAAATTTAGAACAGTCTCCCAGTGGGAGTAATTTTTCATATGGAGATGATCATTTATAAAAGAGACCATATGGTATGGTGGTATATAATTGCATGAGAGGTCCCCTTTAGTCCTATGTATATAATGTCTGATTCTCCCTCTCTCTGATCTCCTGGAAAACTCTCAAGTGCTCAAAATAAACAGTCCAGGCATAGGCAAACTTATGTTCTTTATCTCATATACATTACAGAATAACAACAAAGGTTTAAATAGATCTGTCTCCATGTCTCTATCGTTCTTTTTTGTTGTTGTCGTTGTTTTTGTTGGTTTCTTTTTGGTTTCTTTTCTAAAATTTAGATTGGAAGCTTTTCGGAGAACGATTATTCATGTTCTGTCATGCACCTCTGCTCTATCTAGGGCACATTAATTATTAATTTTAAAATGTTCCTTTGCAGTCAGCCATATACTGCAGTAGCATCTGTTAAATGCTGTTCTCCCAGCCTTTGCAACTTCCCTCTCAAAACCCACAGTCAGCAATTATGAGATTTGTTGATTATGCTCATTCTGGAATGTTTTGTATGTCATGTTAAAAAAATTACATATTTCATCTTTAGTCCCCCGGAATTGATGACAGCAAAGTAAAGGCATCATAGATGAGCTGAAATTGTAACCCATATTAGATTTTCTTGATACTGGCTGGAATAAATGTGCTTATTCAAAGAGTTGTGAATAGGAGCAAAGAAAAGGCAATGGTGTGGAACAAAAGCTTGTTTGTCCCTATCAAACTGAAGACATTTTTCAAGCTCATTCACCTATGAAATTATGACTCCAGAAACAAGCCGAAGCTGATTAGACACATGATCTGAGGAATAAGGATTTTTACAGATTAAAGGCTATCTGGAGGCATCTCTGTTTTAAGTATCAGTGTCCTCCAGTTAGAAGAAGGCAGCTCAGAGAACACAAAATGCCACTACCCTGCAATGACTAGCGCATTCTTCTGTTCTGTTACTTGAATCACCTTTTGAAGATGCACGCTTTTTAATGCAGCTGCCTCAACACTCATTAATTTGGAAACTGTAGTAGAATAAAAGGAAACGTCACGGAAATTCAAAGAACCACAATTTTCTGCTGACAGATTTTTTTTTAAGCTTTTGTTTCTACATAACAGTAATCTTAACTGATCTTAGTATAAAAATAAATAGCCTTAGTTTATTTTTTTTCTCAGACTTGGTCTTTTGGCATTCTTACATTTTAAGTATTTGAGTTGAATTTTTTTTATACCCGGTAAAGTATGAGAAGAAAAAAATAAAAGGGTGTAATTAATATGTGCCAAATATAAGACAGGCTGCAATGGATACATCACCACAAAATGAAAAATTGGGTTCTTCAATTCCTGAACACTTTTCTGCAATTCCTATGAAGACTCACAGACTGATTTGGGCACAGCCTATGTACCTGATTGCATAGATTTCAGATCTTGGAGATGCCGAGCCCTCTCAGATGCAAGAACCCATTTTTTGCTGTTCCCAAAATACCATCTCCTTTTCTGCTTCTTGGGTTGCTTGAGAGCTCAGGAGGTGAGGATGCCAGACAGACAAGCTGCCTAGAAATCAGGCATATTATTGATGGTAAAGGTGACAGTCTTCTGTCAAAAGCAAATTTCCACCAAATGTTTAGAATTCATCTTTCCAGGCATCCTCCAATAGAAAGTGAAGATTATTAAAAATATACATATCTTTCTGATATTTTTTTCTTGCCCTAAATAGAGAATTGAGTTAGATAATATACCGTAACTATTTTGAAAACAAGCTAACTTAGACTAGTATGTGCTTTACTGTATTTCAATGTATGTCAACGTTTGGACACTCATTATAAACAGATGGCATTTTGACCTGTCCAGAGTGAGCAGTATGCATGCAACTGTGAGTAGTAGAATCTGTCTGGGGAAAGTATCCTCCAACGTACAGGTAAGAGCTGGTAAACTTACATGTAGAATTTTGTGCAAAAAAATGATGTTAGAGAAAAAGAATATCTTCTTGTTGCTTGCTTGCTTATGGAATTAAAAAGATTCAAGATCGTCAGTTGGACATAATAATACTGAATAGTACTGAAAAATCTTATTGTGGCCTTATGAAGTCCTAAGCAGGCATAGAGAAAGCACTGGCAGTATGACTGACTTGTGGCAACACAGCTTCTGCTCAGGAGAGTCTCAGAAGCAAATAGACATGTTCTTGTTATAAAGCAGTATAAAAGACACTTCCATAGGGGAAATGCTCCTGAAAAAGCTTGTGTACTGCATTATCATTTAATTGAAATAATATGATTTGCCTTTATGTTCTTCATTTATAAATCTTAGAAGTGCCTTAAGATTTCATATCCTTTCCGCAAAAACTGAGACATATGTTTGCTGTTGCTTTCCTTAAAAAGTAGATCAAAAGCATGACTGGAATCAGAATGCAAATACTTTGAATACTAGGCCAGTTCTTTCTTGGATCACAATAAATGCAGGAGAATAATACAGCACTGAGCTGTACTCAATTAAATCCATTGCACACTGCTCCTTAGCTTTACTGAGCTTAGTGATTGTACAACTGAGATTTCTCTCTGGGTCATTAATGCTCAGGCAGGGTTCTGCAAGTCAGCAGATTCTATAATTTAAGGTTTCTGAATGGACAAAAAGACTCTTTAGATAAGGAAAGATGAAGCCAACAGCTAAAGAATATCAGCAAATAAAAATAAGAAGACAAGGAGAAGAGGTAATGGGATGAAAATCATATCTGGGTTTCAAAGCACTGAAGTGATTTAGAAGTCCATATCCTTTTGACACTCCTCTTTAAAACTTGCATATGCAATTTGTTACCTCAGTTAAACAACTCCTGAACTAATTGGAAAAGTTTGGGAAAGAGTCTTCCTATTTAGTTTCATCTAATAGGAATCTGGTTCAACTATTCTCAGACTGCAAATAAACCAAAACTGTTCACGTAATGGACTGGGGACAACAGGGAGATCTGCTTCGTACTCCTACTCCTGACTGGAAGTTAAATCCTAATTCAGATGCACCCCTTGTCTGCCTATTTGGTTATAATGCAATATATTTCTTGTATCAGTTAGCCTTAAATATTTGTGATCTTACAGTACTTGTTTTAGCCAAAGTCATTTTTCAACTTCAGACTAGACCTAAACATGTGAATTAACATTCAGCACTTGCAGTAATGTCTCCAGTACTTACTGGAGAAAAGACCTGGCAGCCTTGTCTTTGCTGTCATTTGCTAGATAAATTTTTACCAGATGTAGGGACAAACTCTACCTTATGAAATAACATTGTAAGAAGACGAATGAGAGATAAAAGTGTAGGCAGGAACTTTTGCTAACAATCAGTTTTGAGAGATCCATCATAAAGTTCTCTTAACATATTAAAAAACAAAAACAAAAACACAGTACATTAACTTAAAATTACAGTACCTTGCATTCTTACATTAAGAGTTTTACACTTCTTTATGTAACAGAACCCAAATATATGTATTTAGGAAGTTATTTTCCAGGGCATTCATCTTAATCTGGTTTGTTTCCTTCTACATCCCTTGAAGACTTTGGTGAAAATACTATTCCTTGTGGGATTCTTGTACTAACTGAGGAAATCTTGGTAAGTAAATTAAGTACAAATAAGCAATTTAACAAACTCTAGATAAAGAGCATATCACATTTTATCGACATAAGAACCGGTGAGGGAAAACGTTCAGAAAAACCTGCATAGCATTTATTTTCTTAATCATGAGAATCAATGAATCAAAACTTCCTGTTACATCAATTCTTAATCATCTGGACAGTTGGATTAGATGATCCTTTTAAGTGAGCTACTGTATTCTATGTTATTAAAAAAAATGACAGTCTATTGGGAAATGGGGAGGGAGAAAGAAAGAGATTATATTTACCTGCAAATTCCTGGATTTGGGAATCTTCTACTTCAAACAACAACTCATCATGAATCTGAGCAATTAATCTGAAAAAATTCAGAGATGTCAGACAGAATATGCATGAAATTTCTAATAGTACTTTTCACTCGTATCAAGTAATTTTCATGTAAACCACGCATATAGTCCTAAGAAAAGTCCTAAGAAAGTGAAAGACTTCATCAATGGAGTTAAAGGGACTGCCATTCGACATATTCTGAAAGCATAAAGGCCATGGTCTCAAATCGAAACTGCTAGCTAACTTGTAAATGCCTGTCAGGGATTTGATGATGTGACAGGTACTATTTAAAACTGTTGTAAATTGCAGAAAAACTGCAAGAAATTAGAGAGACAGTTTTTGCTTTGTTAATATAGCTTGTTTTCCTCAAACTGAGCTGTAATAAATGGGGTTGCAAATATGCTGTTGTAGTAATCCAAATTAGGTCAATAGCAAGAGGACTTGGCTCACTGGTATGCAATAGTAACTCCTAGTCTAGGATTGGCCAGTGACTGGAGTCTTTCTCAGGAAATATTCCTTTCACTTAAAAGCAAATTAAGGCTCCTCATTCTGTGGGTTGAAGAACAAAAATGCAGGTTCAGGTATTCAACCTGATTTGTTGCCTCTGTTACCAGGACAGTCGTCTTCGTAAGAACAGAATGTACAACTGATAGCAGCAACATCTTAAAACCCATGCAACAACATGCACCTGAGCTCTTCAGTTAGAGCTGTTTTGTAATAAAGTTCTACTGATGCTTTGTTTTTTTCTTTGTCAATATTAGTTCTACATCAATAGGCCTCCTGCATATGGACTGTGTCTTTAATTGTTCAGCGCATACTGGGATAAATCCTAAATTATTGGTCTGCGTGCAAAAATAAGATCACAGTGGAAAAAATATATGTGTTTGACTGAATCACTTCTGAGGAAGAATAGATACAGTCTAGCACATATAATCTTTCATGCAGTTCTTACCTAGAAAGGAAAAATATTGCCCATCTGATTAAGCTGCACTCCTATTAGGTTTATTTCATTACTTCTTTAATACTTACAGCTGGCAGTCTAAGTCATGAAACTGTAACATCTATTTATGAATTTCTTTGCATTCATATATAACATTTAAATTAAATGCTATAGACTTTTTTAATACCTAGCAGTTATTCATTCTTTAGAAATGGCTGAAATAATGGTATGGTTAGAAGTTATAACTTTCACATCTTTCAGGAAAATATCCTAAGATAGTTTCACACTGCTTTAAATTACAATGTGACATTGAGTACCAGTGTGGTGAGCTCTAATAATAGGTCTTCAATTATTAGTCACTTACACCTCAGTCAAAAGCAGAGTGAAACAGATTAACATATTTCTAATAGGAAACTGGGACACGGGATACAATAAGAAACAGATGAAAAAACCAGGATCATCCATAGCAAGAGAACAGAGTTTACATGAAAAGCTATGATTTCCAATGTAAGTAAATTAATTAAAGCAAGAGATTCTTCATAATCATTGGAGTGACATATAAAAAGATATAAATCACAAAGAACTGTGAATGTTAAAAACTCCAAATATACTTTGAATCAATGGAATAAGTGAAAATGAATGCATTGATGAAACCAGTGAAATAAAAATGTGACAGACCAGTTATTGTTTATATCAGAGTAGTGACTCATGGCGTCAGTCAGAATTAGAGCCCAATTTTCTAAATACTTAGTAAGGAACTGTCCTTTCTTTGAAGAATTTACAATATAGATCAAATATTTTATCATCGATTTGTCAGATTTTAGAAATGGAGGAAGAAGATTTTCAAAAACACTCAGCACTGGATTAACAGGTCACCTCATCTCCATGCTAGAGCTAAAACTGGTTTTGGGTTTCTTAAAGCAGTGACATTATCCTATTTGACTTCAGTACAGATGAATGAAAAATCATAGTAATATTTCCATTCAAAATTCACACCTTTTACTATTCCAGACATCTTTCATATAGCTTAAGTAAAAAGTTTTTTCAAAACTTACACTCCTGTTTAACAGCTTAATAAAGTGATCGCCACTTTGAAGGAATATTGAAATAGAAAGCTCCTCCCATTATTGCTTGTTAAAATGTGAAGTAAACTGGATTACACTAAACTTGGATCTTCAATGGATCCACATAGTTATCATTACTATATTACGACCATATAATTGATCTGATATAGGACAAAACAAACAACTATCAAGAGATTTTTTTCATAAGCTTCTACTGATGAGGCCTCCTTACTGTTTATTTTTTCATAATATCATGTCAGATTTTTTTTTAATATAAGAATAGATGAGGATTTTGTTAGTTACTGCAAGGCAATATATTCCAGATCTGGACCTCTCTAAAGAGGCAAGTTTTTCCAGGACTACTAAAATCTGTTGTCTAGAAATGAGTGTGCTACTGAACTGAATTCAGCAGAACAGCTCTTTTATCACCTGTGAGCAATTGTATTTGTTCGCCATTAAAGGAAACATTTTCTCCAAACTGCAAACAAGACTTCTGTGGTGTGACATGCTGCAGATGCTACTGTAGGAATATCCTGTAGAAGATGTCAGTGGTAAAAAAAAAAAAAAGACATGATTTTCCTAGCAGTCTTCCTTGGAAGGTGTTTTCTAACAGTTAGATGCTCTGTTTCAGGTCAAGATATGCTCAAACTAATTATATTAATGCTCATTCTATGGTCAAAGGACTAAGGTAGGCTCTCACTTGTTCTGAACCAACATCTGGAAAACTCCATCTCTAAACACTGACTTTGTAGGGCTACCATGCCCTACCTAAAATCAGACACAGAATAGTCCTGTGTACAATTTTGTTATACATTTTTGTATTACGAGGAGAATCCTTTCTGCTGCTAACAGCGAATTCAAAACATAATATTGTCCAGCTTTCCAGGCTGGTCTAAATGAAGATAATACAAAAAAAAAATGAACCAATGAATTCCTACAGACTAACTGTAGGTTAATTTACTCCATAATTTGGAAGCAGGCAACCTGGACCCATCACAAGCCACTTCCAGACCACTTAAAACCCAACACAGTTATGTTAGTTTGGGGATCAACTGGGGATCCACTATTTGTAACTGAAGAACAGATTTCCTAAAACCAAAGAATTTTCTTTGAAGAAGGGACAAAAAAGAGAATTTATTTGAAATTTATCATAGCTTTTTGTCTCAGCAAAAATCTAGCTAAATTTTTACGAAGTTCCATAAAGCTTTACTTAAGAACATAATACAATGGTAATAATTAAGATTTTATATAGGTAAAAATGTAAAAAGCTAAATGTTTGAAGTTCCTAAAAATACACTACTTCAGAAATGGCATTAATGATCACTTAGCAGCACCACGTAAGTGTAGAAATACTTCAAAAGAATCAGCCCTTTTCTAGCCAGAGTTTTCTTATACAACACTATTACCCTGAACACTGAACTTCATACCATGTTCGGAAACAGCAGTATCAGATTCTATTTTCCATAGATTACTAGCTTTGTCTGTCATTCTGTCCTTTTTAATAAACAAAATAATCATTTAAGTCATAAAATTGCATTTTTTCCTTTTGAATTTGAAATTCCTAACTGCATAATGGAAGACTATAAAATAGTCATTACTACATGGTTAAAGGTCTTATTTAATTACAAAGTAACTCAAAAGAGAACAAAAAATGTGGTTAGAAAAAAATGTTTAAAAGACTAAAAAGAAAAGAAAGATAAAAAGGCCGCTTATGTAATAAACACCTCCATGTTTTCAAGAACGTTTAGATTGACGAAATCCAATGACTTTGGGAGAACACTTTTAAATCTTTTATTTCAGACTATAGGCATCCCCCACAATCACAAAAGATGAGAATTTGCAGATAGATTATTCCTAGTAACAAATCTTTCACCTTCCTTCTGAAGCACCTGCTACTGGCCACACTCAGTGATAACGGACCAGATAAATGCTGGATTCAATTCTTAAAATCTTTGTGTCCTCTGCACTAAATATTTTTTATTTTTTTATATACTACAAATACTACTCGCTATTTAATAGCTGCACAGTTTCCCCATAAATGTACATGGGTTCAACTGGAAAGAATTCCTATTAAGTTGTCATGTAGATAAGGAACACGTTGAGATAATTTTGTGACATTTTGCAGACTTTTCAAGTTTCTCATGAAGCTGCATATATGAGGATTTCTAACGTAGTAATATAAAAGATGTAGCTCAAAATATATCATGCTTGCATAGGTGTTACTTGAAGTTACTTTATATTACTTCTCTTTCAGTATTTTCCTACTGAAGACCAAGACATGTTGACATTCTAACATTTTGACTACAAAAATTCAGCGAACTTGTGAAATTTCTCAGCAGTTACATCAAGAAGAGCAGGAAGCTGAACAGATGGTTAATTAAGAGAATAGAATTTTCACGTGTACCAAAGTGTTTCAAAACATACCTATCAAAAAGGTGACCTACAAAAGGTTTTTACAACCTAGAAGTATTTATTTGCGTTTAATGACCCACAAAAAAGGTACATTTAAGTGTCTGCTGCATCATAAATGTCCTTTTTACCTATGATATTTAAGCATATGAAATATAGTTAGCTTTTTCTATAAAGAATAAATCATTTTTACTTTTTCTGGCTCACTCTGCATAAGGTGTTCAGGTAATTGCTCACCATCTTGTGCATACATGCAAGGTACTTCTGTGAAATATTGAGGAAAGCAATGAATTTGCTAGGTCACAGCACAACTAGAAATACAAAACGGCCACTTGGGAAGCGAAGAGCTACGTACTGGATGGGGACAGCAGCTATGGGGAGCTCCCAATAATTTCTACAACAACCACATGATGTAAGATGTTTCCTTCTGCTACTGAAACAAAAGCATATGTCTGAGAAACAAAAACCTCATTCTCCTCAAGCATAATTAAAAACTTCTATCTTTTCCCTGTGATTCTGCTTCTCCGGTACTAGGCTAAGGATGATTCTCTTGCAGGAATTAATATTCAGAGCAGAACATACAAGGTAATAATGGGGCAGAGAACAAGACCAGTAAGTATTTAGTTGGAAATCTTGGATAACTCCTACAGAAGACACATGGGTAAAATTAATTCTTTAATTCCTTAAAAAATAAGTGGAGGGAAACAGTTGTGTACTCAGAGCTAAAGAAAACCATTCTACACAGCAGCAGCATTAAGTAGCTCACAGAATGAAGCTCACTATGACATAGTCAAGAAAATCTTTTATTGCTATGTCCTTTTGTTTGAATCTTTTGTATGAAAGCATAACCAGTTAATAAAGTACTAGTTCTGGAATCCCTGTACACCTTATAATATGTCTCTTATTTCTTCACTGTAACTAAATTAAAACCAATTCCAGGAAATGAGCTATTTGAGTTTTACCATACGATTTGTATCGGAAAAAATTCCAGGTCACATAACACAGAGCTTGTTCCTGGGACAGTAAGTGTTCTCTCTTACTAATTTAGTGATACGTGTGGAAGCAAGCTGCATTTTTAGTTCATCAGCTCAAAAAAATCATTATGCCAATTGAAGCGTTTGTTCATTAAGGAAAACTTTGAAAAGCTTCAATATCCACTGCTAAAGAAGAGCAGTTGGGATCAAGAAAATAGGTTTGTGCCTTTTCCTCTTTTTTTTTTGTGGCTCATACTTTTCAAATCATTTGTTTGTATCTGGCCTGTCACTGAATCTGTTGTTTTACCAAGGCTCTGGACACACTGAGAAGTAAAGCTGTGTGTTTGAGGCATTCGGATCTAGTGTTATAGGAACAATAAACAGATAAGAAAGCACAATTGCCAGATTCAAGCAGTATTACTCAATAGTTCTTTGGAAGTGTTAAAGTTAATTTGCATGTTGTTAGGATGTTACCATCTTTAATGACTAAAAGCTTCTGAGCAGTTCATACAGTGCCAGACAGTCTTTGGGTAGCATGCATCTATCTTCAGCTTATACAACAACAATTTTTACAAAGACTGGTATAGGCAATCCGTTCTTCCTTCAGTTGCCAACATCCTTCCTCCATTTCACATTCCCAGGTATATGCCACTGTCATGACATTTTAAATAACTACAATTGTCAATCTAAGTTCACACAGAGTATTTTTCTACTCTCATAAATTCCACAAATCTTTCTTTCAGCTGCTAATATTTGCCTTGATCTGACTTCAGAAGTTCCTTTGTTATCATCTGCCTGCAGGAGACATTCTGTGGAGGTTCTGTGAATTGCATCATGCAGGTAAAAGCTAGCACTTGAATAATTGATGTCAGCAGCACACTTTCAGTAAGCAACTTGGCCACAAACGGCAGAACAGCATCTCAACAAAGATGTAGATAATATGGAAGAATTTTAAAGAAATCATATTGATTATTCATCAGTTCCATGCAAAATGAACAAACAAAATCAACAGCAATGGCAGTAGCTAATCCATAGTAGTATCAGCTTTTATCATACTGATTACGTATTGAATGTAATGCTTCTTTTACCCATTTCTGTAAAATTATTCTCAGATAACAGACTGATTTTTTTATTGACAACAGCATGAGTTGCTGAGCTGGCATTTGAATTAAAAGATGTCCAATACAAAGTGAAAAATGAGACTGCCACTGATCAGCCACAGAGGAACGTACTGCTCCTTCACGAGGACCTCGCTGATTCAGCTTCGTGAAAATGTAATTGGTTACTGACTTCCAAACACGATGTTACATGGACAAAGAGTAATGAAAAATATCATCATTACTAGTCATGAGAAATGAAGCTACGTACTATTGGGTCAGAACTTGCTCACATACAATTACAATTTATGTGAATGCAGCACTGTTGACGATGAAGACAGTAAACCTAACTGCAAATTAACATCAAAAACTGTAAGACCTTGTCTAAAATGCAATTTGATTTTTTTTTTTTTTTTTTTTAATTTGCAAGGTAGGGAAGACAAAACGTTGGGTGTCATCCACTACTTGGTTATGCATTGTAGGGAAGACAAAATGTTGGGTGTTATCCACTACTTGGCTATGCCTTATAGGATATACTGTATCACAGTCTAAATAAGGAACTCCTAGTTTCTTCTAAAGTATATGTAGATGATATTTCTCTTTGATATGTTCTCAAAGTGAAAACTTTATTCTAAAATTAGAAATTCTAATAGAGGGGGAAAAACTTTGCAAGGGGGGTAGAGATAGAAGAGAAGATAGTAGTATATTTTTTTTTTCAGTATGATTCAATGTGATAATAGGAGGCTGATTATATTTCTCATTTTGGAATAGCTACTGTGCATTCCTACTCTTACAATAACAGCATCATTTCCTTTCTTCAATATTTTTCGAAGAGCTTTACAAAGAATGTTAGGATCATTATCCCAACTTTACTGAAAAGAAAATCAAGAAACAGACCACTGAATAAATAATAGCTGAATGTCACTTGGCAGACAAGTGACTGAGTGGAAACACAAAACTTCAGGTTCCAATACCGTAATCTGCTGACAAGACCATGGTGATGCTTTCAAATGTCTGAGCCACTTTCTAACCAGGTGAGTGTTCACAGAATTTACAAAGGCACTGACTGTGGTTTTCTGACAAGCCTAGCTTCTAAGTATCTAATAAATATTACAGCCAAGAGCCATTTGTAAATATTAAAAGGTTCTGCTTTAGCAAAGCCATCCAGTTGTTAATGGCTGGCAGGAGTTCAAATCCCAGTTTAAAACAGTCTGTCTCTTCTAATTGACCTTGCAATCTTAGTCTTTCCCAGCTGCGGTATTTATGGTAGGAATGAGAAGCATAGGCAGCAATTCTTCTGGTCTAGCACTTTTCCTATGATTTCACATCACAAGGAAAACTTGTAAAGTACCTGTACTTCCCCATGTCTGTTATGTTCTTAGCCATTTGAAAGCACTACATTTTTAAAATAAATAGTTTTGAGAGAGGACAACTCAAGCAAACTTTTCTGTTGAGAGAAGAAAACATTCACAAGTTTTACCAGACATAGAATTAAATGCAAAAACCTTTGGCTTTCTCATCATTACAATAAGCAGCTGGTCACTGAACCTAAAGATGCAGGTGTTAGCTAGGTACAGAAGGAGAGAATGTATTTTTTACTCTTACAAAATCTCTGCTTGTGTCCATTAGAGACTGGCTAGTTGGCTGACTGTCCCATAATGCAGCTGCTCTATCACTTATCTAACCCAAAGTTACACTTGCCAAAATAAAATTCAGCCAGGCCACAGCTGCCTGATTCTGGCCTCTTCAAACAACATTGCCTATATGTCTGTACCCCAAAGAACAGTTGCCCATTTCAGATTTGTAGTATAGGGCCATTTATTTCTTTCGTGTTTTTGTTTTGTTTTGCTTTTTTTTTAGCAAAAGAAAGCCATCTGTAAAAGGATCTGTAAAAGGTTCATTTATTTTGTTTGAGCACTGATTTCCTGATTCCTGTTTTTCCTAGCTCACACTATGCTCAATTGCCATTGTACAACATACTCAAAATACAGGAAGGATATGATCAGTGGGCTTGATTTCAAAGACATGGAACTACCGCTGAACTAGATCTGACTGAGCTTCAACAGGCCCTGGGCACTGCATTGCCTTGGAATAGGTTTACATGTCCAACTGTTCAAGCACAAAGATACAACTTCTGGTTGTATAAAAGCATCTCCCACAAGCCCTTGCTTATTAAAAGATACAGAGGCATACACTATATTTCTACAGCTACCTAAAATGCTAGAGACCCATTCAACACTATTTTTGTTTCAAAATTAAACACTTTTGCAGTCATTCATTACTAACCTGGCTGTTAAAGTTGGAGAAACCACAACAGAGGTAAAAATCTCAACCATAGCCATTTTGCAAAGATCAGCTGCAGATCCTACAAAAGAAAGTGATCTGCTTTCAGTTTAAAGCATGCAAAAGGAAAGCTGTTTTATGGCATAGAAATGAAAAACATCTGAAGATTGTGAATTATAAGAATTTGCAAAACTAGTGAATTCAGTTGATGTAATATGTGAAACAGATTAATAAATAACAAACTACTACATGTTAATTAGAAACAGAAAACAGAAAATATACAGTATAGAATTGCTCAGCTTGGAAAAAAACCTTAAAGTCCAGCAAGTTCAACTTTAACCTAACCATACGATCTATCTGAAATGATCTAAATTAAATTGAAAATGATCTGAAGTAAAATTTACCTATAAATTAATTAAAATGTAATGTAAAGGGCAGAATTTTGTTTTAGAGACATATTTTCATTTGGTAATTTAATTCATGATTTTTCTTAACACAGTGGGTATGTAATGTATATTCGTTACGTTATAGGGCAATTATACTACGTTACAGAGCAGCGTTGCAGAAACAGTGTCATGTTGTGTAATGGATTAGGCATTTCTAATAAAGAGACAGAGTGATCCTCCAGACTTGCAGTTTGGTGAAACAGCCTGTTCTGAACCACGCAACAGGATTTAGTGCGTTTTTATAGAGATATTTATCAGAAAAAGTACAGAAATAATCCTTTAACTAAGGACCAGGAGCAATAATTCTTGCTCCATCCGATATCTTAAAAGTACCAAACCATACATGTTTTCATTTTTGAACCCTCATTTCAGTAAATCTTGAATTCTTTCTTTCAGATAGTCCAACATCAAGAGATAAAGATTATCCAGTTAGGCAAATAGCAAGGGTACTCTCCTGGGAGGTAAAAGAATATCTAAGAGATTGAAGGGATTATTATGTCTCAATAACCCAACAGGGGAAAGATTTAATACCTCTTCCTGGTTTTCTGTAACAAACTGCCTTCCTGTGAATCTCATGCTGAGACTCTCTTTTATTCATTAACTATACCAAGAGCAGATACTCAGCTGGTTTTTGAGATGTCTACATTTAATGGAAAATTTAGACCCAAATATACTTGTTTTTCTGTTCAAATGTTGTCTCACATGGATTAAATACAACACAACACAGGATGCATTGTTATAGAAACTAAGAAAAGATGTTTCATCACGAGTTAAGTAGTCAGTCGGATCATGAGAATAAATGTATATAACTATTTTATTCCTCACAGTACATACGTGTAAAGTGCAGTTGTATCAAGTTAAAGCTGGAACTCTGCACATTCCTCTTAATATTGCAATGCAACAGAAGAAATCATCTAATATCCGCTTCTGCTACCATTTTCAAAATGCAAACTACTTATATTATTAGACTATTATCACAGAATCATGGCATCTTTAAGGTTGGAAAAGACCTCCACGATCATCTAGTCCAACCATCCACCCACCACCAGTATTTCCCTTCTAAACCATGTCCCTTAGTAGCACATCCAGAAACCTCTGTAGAGCCTTCTTACCCCCAGGCGCATTGACGCTTCCACCCAGCTTGAAGTAATCTGCTAACTTACTGAGGGCGCCCTCAATCCCCTCGACCAGGTCATCGATAGCAATATTGAACTGGACAGGCCCCAGTAGCGGCCTCCAGGGATGACCACACATGATTTAACTCCGTTCAGCACTACTCTCTGGGCCTGGCTCTCCAGACAGTTCTTTACCCAGAAAAGAGTGCACCTGTCTAAGCCACAGACTGCCAGCTTCTCTAGGAGAATACTGTGTGAGACAGCGTCAAGCTTTGCTGAAGTCTGGGTAGACTACATCACCAGCCTTTCCCTCATCCACTGGTGGGTCACTCGATCATTGTAGCAGGTCAAGTTTGTCAAGCAGGATCTGCCTTTCATGAACTCATGCTGTCTTAGCCTGATCCACTGGTTATCCTGCACACGTTGTGTGCTCTCACTCAAGATGATCTGTTCCATAACCTTCCCTGGCACTTAGATTGACAGACCTGTAGTTCCCTGGATCCTCCTTACAAACCCTCTTGTAGATGGGAATCACAGATATATAAAAATAAAACACATTATTTGCAGTTTAGTACATTAACTCTAATTCTCTAACTAAAAATGCTTTAGTATATTATAGAAAGATTTTACAGCATTTAAATATTTTCTCAGAGGTGAAATACTGCAGTTCAAAAAAAAAAAAAAACATAGAGTCTAGAGCAAATTCTCTAATAAAATCTAGAAATTCTGACTACGTTAAAGTTTTTAATCCTTGTTTCACCCTACCTTCCAATTTACATGTTTTGAATAAGAGTCACAACTTTTTTTTTTCAGATTTGTTCTCCAGTATTATTTGAACTGACAATTAAATATATTAATCTTATTAATGTAGGAGAATTTCACAAGCAGTCCTGTGTTGGTGCTGTAGGCATGCAAGTCATGATTCAAGAGTAGGACTAGATGATCTTAGTGGTCTTCTCCAAACTTAATGATTCTATGATTCTGTTCTATGATTCAGCTTTGTCTCAGCTCCAAGCTCTTAGCACAGATGGGCACAAGCAAGTGGTGCTACAAGGGCAATGTAGCTTTATTAATGTTGCCCCATACACTCAGCAGGACCCACTGTATTAGCTCAAGCATTATGTCTTCAGCTGGAGAGGGCTGCTGTTCATCTGGGTGAAACTGAAGTGAAATGAACACAAGTCTCTAGAGAAGCTTGTGTAGGTATTCCCAGATGTACAAACATGCAAGCTTTGCTGCAGATGTTATAAGAATATTTTAAAATCACAGAACCATAAAATCTTAGAACTGCTCAGGTTGGAAAAGACCTTAAAGATCATCAAGTCTAACCAAAACCTGACCACATTACCCTAACTCTAACAACCCTCTGCAAAAATTCTGCATTTGAGAGCCTCATACAGCAAGGCAGCTATCACTTGAGCACAATTGTTACTCAAGCAGCAGGGTATGTATTAGAATTCTAGATCTGTACATGTTCTTGTAGAGATAGTACTAAATTCAGTTACTGATTATAAGGATGTCAAACATGACATAATTACATAAGTCATTTTTAAAATTAAACATTAACATGAATAATACTTGGAGAAAAAAAAAAAAAAAAGAAAAACCAAATGATCCTTTCAAAAAGAAAATTCAAATGATCCTTATAGGCACTCCATCACTGTACTTAGAAAGCAGTTTTTACTTATCTGTAAATTGTACATGTCCAATATAGCTTAATGAAAACCTTGTCAGCATATTCCAAACAAAGAAATAATGTCTGCAAGGTTTGGTGGGAGGGATCTCAGCTTTGGACTGCCAGCTCAATTTCTATGTGTTCCTTATGTGGTTAATTCTATACAAGACTTGGGTCCAAACAACTTATATGTTAATATATCTATTACTAATATTTCAGTATTTTTGTGCTAATTTTTACATTTCCAATTTCTCTGAAGAAACATCTTTATTTTCACCCTTCAGAGAATTATTTTCAAATGTTCCTTATGAAGAGTTGGGTTTCAAAATATAATAAGGTTCTTGTAATACTGCATATTTCTTAAACTAAAGCTACGTGACAAAAAAAAAAGCCAGAAACTGTAAGCATAAAAATCACAGAAGCACTGTGAAAGAAACTCTCAAAGAAGCCAGAAAGGAAAATATTTCAGACAACCATGCATTCAAGCCTTGAAATCTTGTATGTTTTCTCCATATGTAGTTAATGTCTACACCTGTATTTAACAATGGCAGAGAACTCTACTGTATTAATATACTGTGTTTATTTGAAGTTTCCAAGGAACCTAGAATAAACATTTTAAACTTCTGTTTTTATAATAAAACTCATGCCTCAGTAGCTTACTTTAACAGACCATGAGAATACTCATTTTTTTGAGAGCAAAGGAGATTTCGCCTGTTAGAGTTAAGATAGATAGATGGTAGGTAAGTAGGTGGGTACATAGGTGAGATTTTACCTTGAACAACAAAATTGACAGCCTGCCTCTCTGCTTGAGTGCGTAGTTTGTAATCCTGTGAATTGATATTAGCAAGCAGTCTTTTGCGTCCCATAATGGAAACCACATAACCTTGTAGGATTTAAGTAGAAATCAGCATTTCTAGAGCAATTACAAGTTAAACTTTAAAAATTATTTTTGAAGATAATGCAGATTTTTTGTAATTGTGCTGCTTGAGATAATTCGCCCTCTGAAAGTATTCAGAGCTTATTGCATTGTTAGCCTCAGAATTATTTTATTCAGAGAATTGATACATGTTATACAATAAAAATTTATGTTCATTAAAGCTGTATTTTCATTAGGATTATCTGCCAATATGCTGGTAAAATAGCAAACTCTCTGTGGGAGATGAAACTATAAATACCTAGCAGAATTAGCTATCTATTAGTAGCCATAATTAGAGCTTTCCATGCAATGAATAGTTTACTTGGGAATAGCAAAAAAATCAGTTTGCACAGCAATTAAATCACTAATGAATCATTCCCAAAATTGTCCAATCATTTTTGGAGAATTTTTTTTCCCCGATTTTCTTAATGCAATAGTTTCATGTCCCTTCCACAACCAAACTTTCTTACCTCTAGTTAAGTAAGTAGTTTAAATGAAACACATTAAAATAGTTAAATATTCATTTTTAGCCTAATGAAGTATTTTGCCATCATCACTGGATTTTTTTGGAGGACAAGTGAGAGGAACAGAGAGAGAAAGAGAGATCCCATGATCCTCCTGTCCAGAAAACACTTGTAAAATTCTTGCTTTACTTATCTCCCAAAAATAAGCCTTGTCCTAAAAAAAGGTTTTCTGTTACACTTCTGATCACCCTGACTACCCATAGGCCATCACTGGATACCACTGGAGCTCAGACTGCACACCATAATTTAATCTCATGCGCAATAAAAGCTCTCAAAACACAGAGTTCTGTGTTTTGTTGAAACTGTGTTTTTGTACTATGTACAACACAAACCCAATATTATGCACAGGGTAATGAAAATAGCTCTGCTGAACTAATAAAGCTTTCTGTTAAGTTGCATATTACCAACAGCATGAACATGAAAAGTTCAATTTTTAGAACAGGGAACTGAACTGTCTGGAGGTTGGGATGTTCTCTGGCAAATCAGTCTTCCTAATTTAACTAAGACTTTCTGCAAAGAACAGTAAGAAGCAAGAATTTTTAAAACACTAAACACTCAATGAGAAATAGATTTAATGTAATAATCCTATTTCTCTATAGTATGCTTATGGTAAATTAAGTACTGAACATTTGTAAAACCTAAATAAAATTAGTTGGTCAGATGCCATTCATCTTTGAACAGCAGATAAGTAAAAATGAGCTCTCTAGGTTGGAAGAGTTTTTTAATCTGAGATGGATGAACAAGAAAAGTACTAAAGAATGTTTGCCTGCTGCAAAAATTTTTGAGCTTATATAACTGAAATAAACAGTTCAGACTGAGAGGAGTACTAATTAAACAGGTGTGTACTATGTTTTAACCACAATCAAGGACATTAGTTATGACACTTGTCTACTCAGCACAATAAACATTCTTGAGCACAGAATCTTGATTACGGAAACTCATTTACTTTTAAGAGAAGAAAACAATGCTATTTTAAGTAAATCAAAACAAATACATCATAATTGTGTAAAATTTTACAATACATATTTTGTTGAGCTTCATTCCCTAAAGGAAAGCTCCTGAAAACTTATGTTTTCTTCAGCAATGTTAATGAATAAAGGAATGTAATTCCATGACACAATGAAAGCTAAGGCTCCCCATAGAATTTTAAGGTCTAAACATTACAAAGAAGTCTGAATCAGTTACTTGTTTCTACCATCATGTTCACCTCAATAATTATAGGCAATGTTATATGGCAAATTTACAATTTATTTCTACAGTATTCTTAGTACACCACACCGTACCACACAGTGTACTAAGAAATCCATCTTGACAGTTCTTCTAGTAAACTTTAAAAATATTTCTAGCAGCTGTTCTTTCTCTTCTCTAATTGCTGCACTCCTAGGATTCTCTAAATGTAAATGAATATGTAGACTAACAACAAATTCAATGCTAAAAGAGTTTGCAGCTGCTGGCTTCAAGAAGCACTCTGCACACATCTGTCATCACAGATACCACCTGAGCTTGAAATTCTGACTACTGTGATGAAGAAACACGTATTTAAAAATTGTTTCTGTAAACTGGTTCTTTGACTAAATGGCTGAACTTCCGTGTTTCAGCAGTGATGTAACATATTCATTAAGTAAAATATGCCCTGGATTTGTGTTGGAGTACATTTTATGTTGAAATGATGTAGAATAGCTTGACATTAAGCAGAGTTCAGACTGAGAACAGAAATATTACTTTGCTAGCATCTTTCTTAGGAAAGGCAGAGAAGCTGCCAACCAATTTGTCTCAGGAGTAAAAGAGAAAAAATACCTGACTCACCAAGAGATGATATTACGTATTATCTCTTGTTCTGCAATTATGTGAATTTAGATTAAGCTGAATCTCTGTCTTCATCGTTGTGACACAATGAGTAATTAAAAAAATAATGGTTGTCGATTTGGATTACCTTTATTTTGGCATTGTCCAATGGTTTTCTTGGTAAATTCATGTACTTTCTTGTATTTTTGCATAAAACTCTCTATAAAGCAACTAGCTTCAAGAGGAGTAATTCCCAAACATTCTGCAAGACGTTCTTTACCTGTATACAAAAAAAAAAAAAAAAAAAAAAGAACAGAAATCCATTACAGACAATAAAACTGTTACGTTCACAATTACTGAAATTGGTAAATACGCCCATCTCTATGAAAGAGGATGGATCTGATATCCATAATCATATTTCAATGATGCAAACATTATCCTTGAGCTTGAATGTTTCGTTGAAGTTGAAATCTGCAGACTCTAAGGAGAAGATAATAGAACCTACAAATTATGTAAAAAAAAATATGGAGGTATGGCTTGCTGAGTTTAGCCAGAAGCTTTGGGTACGGTGTAGAATTCGTAAAAAAACCTAACAGCAGAAGTAATCAGACCAGGTGGCCTGATTTTAAAAATACAGCTAAAAGTTTTAATCCCACAGATTTCAAACAGTCTTGGACTCCTCAATGTCTACAGAAATCTAAATCCAAGTTGTGAGATGAAAGAGATGGAAAAGAAATGCAGAATAGAAAATTGTTTCAGCAGAGATGGAAAGGAGTACTGCATTTTGGATAAGATATAGATGCATAATATATATTATTATCACATATATTGCAAACATATAATATTATACCAAAGACAATTTTTCACAGTACAAAAGTATTATCTAAGAGTTTCAGTTTAAATACATTTATAAATTAAATATTTTCATTAAAAATAACAGACACATCAACTTTAGTCATACAAGGTTTGAAAGACGTATATATTTGTCTGCACAGCATCACAAAACCAACACTGAGTCTGGAAACAACATAAGCTGAGAGGTAAAGTTTCAAGGCACTAAAAGCATAGAACAGTTACTGTCATGATAATACTGTCAAGAAAAATTATCCAGCGTTCTTAAAGAAAAAGAATTTCAGCCACCTAAATGCCATCCCTGTCAGTCTGATATGCATTTCAGACTTCTGAATACAGAATAATGTAGCATTTTGTTCTGTCATGCTGGGATCTGCACTGAGCGACAGGAACACCAGTCCAGACAAGGTGCTAGAACAAGAAATTCACATCTCAGATGACTCCTAGCTGACCTGTTATTGGCCTGGGAATCTATTTTACATCAAAATAACTTGTTTTTAATTTCTTGGTCAGAAAATGACAAATCTATCTGCAAAAGCACGTGTTGTTAATGGCTAAAAGAATGCTGAGGCTTTCTTGGAGAACTGCAACATCTGTATTTGTCCATGTTACCCTTCTAAAGAACTACTTGCTATACAGAACAAAGAATTACATACAAGAGAAGGAAAATTAAACTACAATAACAACAAGGGAGTTTGAGAAGTTCCAGCAAAATGCAATTCCTGGAAAGCAAAAAGAGAAGACTCTACAGCCACTTAAGACCATATTTCACCATGTGGGAGCACAGGCCATGCTAAGCAACTCCCAGGAGTGGGCTGAAGCTTCCTTGAGCACTCCCCTTGAGTTATCCGTGCCAGGGAAACTGTTACTAATAGCTTATGTGTTCTAGCATCTTCCGCTCTATAAAATCATATTTCAAAACTGAAAATCACACTTCCAACCAGCTTCTCTGTTTTTCATTTAAACACTTTGACATGCCTCTGTGCTCTGTATAAGACAAGACTAGAACACAGGACTAGTGCCACTGAAGAGAAGCGATTCTTTCTTTCATAGATGTTTAAGTTGCCTTTTCTGTAGTTTCACAGGATGACTGAGGCATAAACAGATGAATATAACTGCTCCACATTGGGCAAAATGTCTGAAATTCTGCTCTATCTCTCAATAGATGGTATATTAATTAAGGTACCAACTCCTATACCTAGTAAAACTTTTCTGTATTATAGTGTTTTCTGTCCTCCAAGATTATAGGAAAGATTTTAAAAATACGAACCAAGAGCAGTGTAAAGCCAAGAAAGCATAAACCAAAAAAATCACTACGTGAAGTAGTAGACTTCCACTGACTGCAGTAAGCGTAATACCAGCAATCTCCTCCAGAGGTCCTTTCCAGCCTTACCATTCCGTGGTTGTAAGAATGCATCTTGAGTCAGTATCTGAGTTAGAAACAGTATCTGAGTTCTTCTCATTTAATTAGGCCTGTTCTCATCTCTTCGTAAATACCAACAGAAAATAAAGTTTCCTAAAAATTATGCCTCTTTTAGATGAAGACAAATGCATCCCTTACATCAGCAGCAAATAAACCTGACATCTGTGTAATTTTTATATAGGTCAACGCAGGTATATTAATTTGACAATTTTAATTATTTAACAATACTTAATGAAAATCAAAATATAATACACTGGCAAAATTTAACTCATCTTCAGACATTTGGTATATTTGCATAAGTTACATAGATGGTATGAACATACTGTAGCAATTTATTTTATAAGAATGCCTACCTGCTCCATAAACCACTGAGTAAACGATACGCTTTGCTTGCTCTCTATCAGTTTGTTTCACTTGTTCACTTGGAATGCCCTTCCTAAACAAACAAACAAAAATAATACATTTTCAGTTAAAATCAATTCACATTTTTATCCTCACAGAAACATATTTAACTACAGATTAACAAGACATAAACAGAAGAATTTAGGAGCTTTTATCTTAGGCACAAGGAACACACAGCTTGTTTATGAATTTTGGTGGTGACAGACCTCAGAAAATGTAGTTCTTTAATCCTTACCTTGTTTTCTGTTTGATTTTTCTAAATCAAATCCTTGACTAAGAAAATCCCTTCTACTATATTATTAGTTACTTAGGATGAAGAAGATCCAGTACTGACCCATGAGAAAAGTTAAACCTCCCCAGCATCAGCATTGTTCAAGACACAAAGCATACAGAAACACCAAGAAAAGTTTGACCTCAAGCTTAATTAAACAAATGTTATATAAATGCTTCATTAGTAAGAATATCTGAGCCTTCATCAAGAATAATTATTGATAAAAGCACGCAGAGAATCTCTTATATGTTTTAAAGAGCTCTGAAATGGAGATATATCATAAAACAGCAGCAGGAGCAAAGACTGTAACTAGTTTGCTTGCAACAAACACTATCCTTTCTGCTTCTCATTCACACACCAAGGATGCAGACTGTCCTATAAAAGGGCTAATGGATTTAGTAATTTGTAAATTAAAAGCTAGGACTCTGCAATCACCAATTATGTGTTATCTTTGCTTTCTCTTATCTAAATATAGCTTCAGGACATTACTGACCATTTAGAGCACTGAAGTATACTGGTAATACGGCTTAAATAGAAGCTTATTGGAAGAAATCTCTACCTAATTGGCTCACACTTTGAATATAAGTACCTACATGAACTATTTTGGGAAGTTAAAGATGGATTGCCATCAGAGATGCTTGATGCTATATGAACAGCTTGTGAAAAAGTTTTCTCATGGGTCCATTGATGATTCAATTGCATTTTAAGAATCAGTTTGGTATAGTTTGTCATTAAAGCTTTTTGTTATGGAATACTCTTTATTGTGAAGGTTTTGTTTGACAAGCTTAAAAAAAAGTCATATTTCTGTATACATCCTTAGAGTCTTTTACTGGCATTATGATGCTTAAACACCTAGCAAATCAACAGAGCCATAGAATTGTGCATGGTTGGCTCACACACTGGTTTTAGCCTAGCCTATGAAAAGTGCTCATATAATTACACAGTGAAAGACAGACAAGAAGACTTTGGGTGCAATCAATGTTAAGAGAGTCCTGTTCGAAATACATGTATTTTGAAGAAGAAAATCAGAAATGATTTCACATCTTTATAGGGTAAATAAACAGTCTGGTTTTACAAAAGTTCACAGTCATTTTGAACAGTACAATTGCTTCAAGGATATGAATTTTTCTCTGTTCATTTTTAAGCTGAGAAACACGAAGAGCATCTTTAATCTGAAGATCATTCCCACATTAAGTCAATCATTTCTGTACGTGGAGGCTCTCATAATTTATTTTCTCTGTTGTGCCAGGTCAAAAGGTCATCATGGCTCCTATGAATAAAATGGGATGAAATTCCCAAATGTACCTGATTAAGGTTATAGAGTGGCAGTTGGAACTAATATGTGCTGAATTAGGAAACCAGACATCATCAAAGATTTCCTGAAGTAATCCCTGCCAGAAAGTCTGCAGGAATTTCCTGAAGGATCTGGCAGAAAGCCACACATATTCTTGAGAAAACACCTATCCAGAATGAGAGGAAATATAATCTGATAGAATTTCCCAGAAAAAAGAGCAGATCTTACCCCAGAACACTGTATTTAAACTTGGGAAACAGTACAACATGTAGCTCTGTTTTCCTCACACTGCATAATTCATACTAGATGCCTGGTAAAGTAAAGAGATAGGATTACAGCAATAGAACTTACTTGCAGATTCGCTTAAGTCTGAGGCTAAAGGCAATTGAGAGCCAAGGGGTGAGCAGAGGGTAAGTTGGCTGCTGACCTCTACGAAAAAGAAGAGTTTTAACTTTAAGAACATAGCAGGTAAAAAAAGTCATGGAGATCTGTAGAGGCAGATACAGACTTCTCGGGTCATTCTATTGAGAAAGCAAGACTGAAGCTTACTGAGTCTTACTGAAAAGTCCTGCTGGGTAGGACTGGAAGTTCTAGAGAAGATCAAAGTAGAAGACATCAGAACTTGATGACGCAAGAGACCCTATTATAGGATTATTAAGGTTGCTTTTGCATTATACAAACCCCAGCTTGAAGGGGCCGATCAAGAAAACACTGCTGTAATTGTAATAGGCAGTCAGGAGAAGGATCCTATGCTTTGATTGTAAGCAGTTATATTAAATATTTGTCCAAGACATTTAATGGTGCAGATGTACATGCATCATGTGATTATGGCAAACACAACAACCACTCTACATTTTCTGACCTTCGAGTTATCCAAGAAATATATGAGAAGCAACTAATATTTTAGAGCTTTATGTCAAGTATTTCTTTTAATATAATGCTAAAACCAAAATGATCAGTCAACACATCCAAGTGTATCAGAGTGGGAAATGTGAGCGTTCAGCGGAAAGGCACTAAAGGTAGCACACTGTATATTTGCAAATGTATGTATCTCACTCAGGAATCCTGAATAACAAAAGATGATAAAAGAAATTGTGTTATAAATCACAAGTGCTTGAGCAAATAGAAGTCATTAATCAAAACTATACATGTTTATTCTATTCTAATAACAAAATGCTTTCTTCTGTTTATGTCAACTCTGATCTATTTCTAGGTAGGATGCTCAAATCCCTTTGCAACACAGTGCCATTCTTTCAGCTTGGGGTGGAGACTACTCTTTTCAATAATAAAATGGCATGGGGTGAGGGGCAGTTTCTCATAAATGCGCCCATGCTAGAAACCATCATAGGGCTTTCTTCTTCAGATTGTTTCCTCTGCAAATAAATTTTTTATGATAATGAATTAATTTGTTAAAAAGGCTTCTGTTCATACCTATTTCAAGTTAAAACTTCATTTTGGTTTTAGAGTCATCATAGAATACCACAGTATTGAGAAGGAAACATTATCATCTCATTTTTTATGAGATTTTAAAGCTAAGGAAGCTATCTAATGTAAGAAAACAGTGCTGAATTAAAAAATAGTTTTGAGAACAGGTAGATACAGAAGTAAATCGGTCTCAAAAGACTGTAACAAAATGTTTCAGTACTTCTGAGAAACACTGTGTGGTGACGAAGTCGTCTGTTTATGTGCAGGAAAAGGAAGAACTAACTTCTCAAACACAATATCTGGCAGACACACATTGTCTTGATCTGCATTACCTTGCAGTCATAATAGCCACAAGGCTCTTGGCTGCTGTCCTGCATCTGCCAACTAATTCAAGTCCTAACTGGGAGTCGTTGATGTGGGAAATGAGATGGAGTGCCATTAAATTTATTTTGTACACAGCCATTAACACCCAATAAATGAGTGAATATACAAACAAACACATCTTCATTCATCTGACTGGTCTACATTTTCTTGGGTATTTTGCGCTTTTCTATGTTTAAGTCATCAGTGAAGTGCACAAATCTGCCATTTTTAATCACCAGTTGCTACTAAAATGGGGTTATATATTTTGTGAGATCGTGCTTAGAACTCTGTGTTGGCATATGAAACCGGTACAGATGATTTACGTAATTAGTGACAAGCATAAGCTTTAGAAAGGCTCAGTTTTACAGTAGAATCACCACTAGATATATTATGTGGGAGGTAAAGTCTGAGAGCTTAGAGTTTTTAAGTGACATTGGCCTTAGTATAAGGCAGGCAGCGTATACAGTAAAATGTTATCTGAGTATTCTAAACACATGGAAGAGACTGATACGCTATAACTTAGCATGCTTACCATTAATGTAACGTGCAAGAATAAGCAAGCTTTTTGAAAGTTCCTATTCCATGATTAATGGAAAAAAAAATGACAAGGATCAGGCATAAGTTGCCTCAAATATTTTAAAAGTAGTGCATGGAAGAGATCTTGGAATAATTTTTATGCAGTTAAGCTCCATTACATTGTATGTAGATACAAGGGCTGCTCCAAAAGCAATGTGCCCTATTTTATGTTGGCCCACAATGTCAAAGGAAGGTATTGATGGAATGGCAGCAGAAGTTGAACCTTCCTATTGATATTCCATTACATGTTGTTGCTGTGTTACGGATGGCAGCAGAGGAGCAGTCCGACAAAATGGCAGCTGACACTGAAGCACATACGAAGCAGAGGTGTGCTCCTTGATATGGAAAAAATTGCATCCATTCACATTCATTGACTCTTGCTGAATAGAGACCAAACAGCAGATGTGAGGATAAGGAAACAGAATGGTGTATTTCAGCAGTGGCACTAATGATGTGAAAGACAAGCCTGTTTCAGACGGCCATGCACAGCTGCTGCACCACAAAATGAAGAGTGTCAATGAGCTCATCTGTGTGAAGTGGCAGAATACAAACATGGAACTGCGTATAGAGCTGAATGTTGGCTTTGATTCACTGGAAATGAGGGTGGCAATATTGGAATAATACAAAGTTCGCACCAGGTGGACCCCACAAATGCTCACACAGGAACAGAAAGCACCACAAGCAAGCTTCTCAGGAGTTTTTGAACCAATACAAGGATGAAAGTGACAGATTCCCAGACTGTATCATTACTGGTGACAAGAAATGGTGTCACCACTACAAGCCAGAGTCAAAATGGCAGTGCACACAGTGGCAGCAAGTGCATTTACCATCAAAGAAAAGTTCAAGACAGTCCTCAGTGGCTAGAGTGGCTTGCACTATCTTTCAGGATAGGAAAGGGTTAAGCCTTCTGGATTTCCTGGAACCTAGACAAACCATCAACTCTGACCACTACATCATGACACTGACTATGTTGAAGGTTCTAACTTGCACAGTTAGGCCAGAGAAATAGACAGTCTTTCTCTTGCAACACAATAATGCTAGGCACCATATCAGTTTGAACATAAATGTTAATAAATAGACAGCTGGACTGTCCTACCACACCCTC